ACCGATGGTCGAACGTAACTATCCTCTTCATGTCCGCCGATCTTAGGGGCTAGGTTTCGCACCCGTACAATAGGGTTGAACGCACGGCTGCATTGTACACTCTACCCTTCAGGGCGAGAGTAATGTCGCGCCGCCGCCATAGGTGGCGAAGGTTAGCAAAAGCACTTCGAGCTTTCGACATACGGTTCATGATCTCGTCTTCGATCCCAAAGGCGCTGATACAACTTTTCAGGTAATTGAATTTCTGAACTATTTCTAGCTGATCCCCACCAAGGGTCGGCGCAGGAGGTGATCCCTGCAAATCTTATAGGAACGCTTTTCACTTCGAGGATGCAAAGCAAAGCCCGAAGCAGCTGTCAGCCAGTGCTAATCTGTCCAGTGCGGCTCGGCACGTCTGGGAGCTGTCACAGATGAGGGCAATGTCGTCTGCATACTCCAAGTCAAGAAGTCGTTCGCCTGGGAGTAGCTCCACACCTTCCAAGTCATGTCCTGTTAATGCAATCTACATGACTTCCTCAATAGCGAAGTTGAATAGGAAAGGTGACAGCGGGGATCTTTGTCTAACACCGCTGGAGATATTGAAGGGTGGCGACAGCTTGCCGTAAGCACTCACTCTGCCTGTGCTACGCAAATGTAATGCTTGGATAATATTTACATTTTTCTCGGGCATACCTTTCCTTAGTAGACAATTCCAAAGGGCACATCGATCAATCGAGTCGTAGGCACCTTTGATGTCGAGGAACACGACAACGGTGGGCCGCCAATATGTGTGACGGTGCTCCAACAACTGACGCAAGGTGAAGATGTGGTCGATGCAGCCACGACCCCGACGAAACCCGGCTTGCTCCTCATGAATCTGACTTTCACGAGCGCCAGTCAATCTGTGAAGAATTATGGAGGCGAGTAATTTGGAGGCGATGGAGATCAGACTGATTCCTCTATGGTTGCCGCATTCCGAGCGCGAGCCGCCTTTGAAGATGGGAACAATAACGGAGCGGCTCCAGTCGGTTGGGACAGTCTCCTGCTCCCACAGTTTCACGAGTAATTCATGTAAGGCATCAACAAGAACAGAGCCTCCGAATTTGAAGAGAGCT